CCCGAGTACATGTCAAGCTAATCTTTCTCTATCCATTGATTCTAGAGAAGATAAGAAAGTACTTTCTATGAGAAGGCTCCTGGATTATTTCATACTTAAAGGACAATTGAAGTCAAAATTTTATAACTTTCGTGAACGTTTTTATACATAGAAATACATTCAATAACGTATTCCATTTCCAAATCCGGCGCCCGCAGTTCAAATCCGCAAGTAAGAAACACATGAATATTAGTCTAGGTCATATTGACGTCACAGCACCAGCCCCTGTGAAACACGCCATTATGTAAACATAGTGCGTGTGGTGTATAAGATGGAGGACAGAAAGCGATAATTTCAATGATTCTAGTGATTACTTAGATGATGATGATATTTATAGTGATTTACCAGTTGGATATAGGTTTGAGCCTGAATATACACAAGAAGAAATTGAGGAGAATCGTCTGAAAAGTAGCAATGCGAAGCAGTCAGCACACACTTCTCTGAGAATCAGACAGTCACAATTCATGGCGGAATGGAAGCTTCGGTACCAGATAGGACTGTAGACAAATACTGGTGTTCTTGTAGTGTTTGTGAATTAATAGGTACGGCACCTGAATGTATATGCTTTGCATGAGAATGAGAAGACCAGGATTATTGTAGACTAGTTTGACGCTAGACCAGGTGAGGCATGCGAGTACGATTGATCACCAGGCTTATCACGCTCCGGTCAGAGAATCACATGTAATGTGTACATGCTAAAAACATCGTCTACGCAAGTTCATGTAAATCATACCGTGAATGCAATTATCCACACAGGTAATATGTATGTACATGAACATAAGTACATTTACAGGCTACATGTTTGTTGTATGCTGTAACAATACTTTCACTTAGCATAACATATACTATAGCGTGTTAGCACTGTTACCGCTATATCTAATGGCGTGTTTCACAGGGATGTCCGAATGAAGCAAGTGACTTTGGGGCTGTGACGTCACATGACCTAGATTAATATTCATGGTGTTTCTTACAAATTGGGCGCCGGATTTGAAATGGAATACGTTATTGAATGTATTTCTATGTATAAAAACGTTACAGAAGTTATAAAATTTGACTTCAATTGTCCTTTAAAGCCGCACAATGCGCATCCAAACGCTAATTTCTCCAGTACTAGACTAGCAAATACTTTCGTGTCATGCATAATCACACTACCTTATGACAAAATAAACTCTAGTTCCTCCCATTTCACTGCGCGTTGTCTTATAAAAGATATTTGAAAATACCTCCAATGTTGTTCAATTCTCCGATTGTTGATGACAGCATGTTTCCCAAGCAACCGTGCAGCGGTGCTGCGGTACGGGTGTAGCAAAGATAAAAACATGTGAGTCACCTCACCACTTCGAGGCTAAATTGTTTGCAAACAAGTCGGGTTTGCGCCAGAATGCCAGTTTTCTCACCTCTTTCTTTGTGGGTTTTAAGCAAAGCGCAGTGAAATGGGAGCAACGAGTGTTTATTTTGTCATTAAGGTAGTGTGATTATGCATGACATGAAGTATTTGCTAGTCTAGTACTGGAGAAATTAGCGTTTGGATGCGCATTGCACGGCTTTAAATGAAAAATTAAGTACGTATTTTAAATGTACGTAAAATTTCCATATGCAAAACCATCAGCTGCTTTTAAAAACCTTGTATTTATATATAAGCTCATACGATATTTCTCTTTGTGGCTACCTGTTTCTATGTGTAACGCAGTGACTTGCGCGTGGGCAATAGCACGTATACCAAAATTTTATTTAGCTGTGTGCATGTACGTCTGTAGTTGTGTGTAAATGTGTGTGAACTTCTCATCTATACATCTCATGTATTACCATCTTCCTATATATGCTTGCCCATCGATGGTCTCTCACACTCCCCTCTCTCACTACACCTAACACCTTCACCTTGGTGCTCCCGTATACAGAACAAATAAAACTTCTTAGACATACAATTCATGTCTTGGGGTCTGTCCATCGATGGAGTCTCACACCCACCACGCAGCTTCCAATGCTATACATCCAGATGATGTGGCAATAGTGCAAAAATACAAAGTATTGCATCTAGGAGACTCACAGTTATATGTAGACTTACAGACTATAGAAGAACGATACATGTATTTGCTCGGTCAGAAGCCTGAGAAAGCTGACTGCATTGACTTCGTCAGCCTGCTTGAAATGTAGAAATGTAATATGCATCTATCATCTACAATTACGAGTTACGTGCAATACCGCAAAGTCTAGACTTAGTGCGAGCTAATAAAACTTATATATTATAGATCCATTTGGAGGCAACTCGATATTGATCCCTAAATGACAGTTGTTGACTTATCACAAGTTGTATTAGATCAACAAGACGAGAGTTGCTTTACAACTTTGCACACAAACAATCATCAGCCACACTGCATCTCGAAGCACAAGTTTAATCAATGCTGTACCACCTTGCAAGGAGCCATCACGACTATGCGAATCTCTATAGAATACCGAGTGGCAGAGTGGCAATTATGACAAAAGCTTCTTCCCGCAATGCCGTGAGTGTGCCGATAGATGATTCGGCAAACCTGCCTCGACCAACTTGGCGGTCGTAAAATCGATTACGGTGCCAGGCTGGGCGATGCCGAGACACCCTTGCCCAATAGGGATACGGGGCGTTTCACACGTGCGAATGCAGCGGTCCACAAACCATGACACACTTTTAATGGAATGCCCACTCCAGGCAAAGTGTTCTTTCCAGTTTCCACACCAGTCGACTTTCGCGAGGGGGCCAGGCCACGATCAACTGTGCAGAACACTGGCACCGCTTGATTTGATCAATTCCAGGTGACAACAGTGAACAGGTATGATGCAACGACTAGTCGCTGTAGGGAAGGCTTGTTGCAGTGGTGTACTTGTAATTTGTGTTCAGTCATGCCATTGGAATTAGAATATCTGTGCTGCAGGGAACTTGATGTTCAGCTTAGTTAAAAATTTGCTAGTTACAGCATATTCACCGTTCTATCACATCGACCATACTCAGCCAATACACATCGTTACCCCTCTAGCAAAGCGTTGTGAAGTTAATCAAACCCGTAGTCTGTGAATTAAACGTCTCGCATTTACATTTACATTTACGATTATGCTCCCCGGTAAGATATTATATATCGAGATACAGTTATAGTCGTGTTAGGATCATGCACCGAGGGTTACAATTACTAGCCACGTGTCACCGCGAATAGCCACGTAGCAATCATTAACACGTACACAGATGGTGTCTACGCATATATGCATATAGCGTGGATGACTGACCCTCCCTGAATAGATTATGTCGCACGTGTGGCAATAAACATCCACACATTGCTAAATCATCTACTAAATGCCAACCTAACCCCGGCTAACCACCCCAGCACCAAT